TACTGTAGCTTCATAATTGTTCTTTTGGTCCCTGTACTGGAGAGAAAACAGAAAACTAGTTTGATGTGAAACCTGAGGATGTAACAAGGTGTGATCTTTTCATGAATTTAGTAGCTGTTATTTGTTTATCATGACATTTTCAAAAACTTTCAAATACTTGACATTAGCGTTTTAAACTTAGGCTGATACAAGCGGCAACCTTCAAGCCTTGTTCGGATTCCTCAGATTTGAACTGTTTCAGACATACAAGTCCTGTGCCGGAGCAGGAAAAAATCATGTTAACAGTTTGGGGGCCCCACAAATAGACCCAGGCATTTGTAAGATGACACTGACGATGTTTTCACAATGTGAAAAGGGCTGGAATAAGCAGGGGCCCAATGAAGTATGAAGGAGTTATGAGGTTTTGGCCAATAACATGTGAGGCTTTTTATTTGGTTGCACACAACACTGAATGAATCAAAGGTGAAGAAAATGTTTGAGTTTTTGTGAAGACTATTTTCTGTGTTTCATTGCAAATATATTTTTACCGCATAATAATGATTGGCTTTACTAAATATGTTAAGGAGTTAAAACTTTCTGCCTGGGTTATCAGGGATCCACCATAGTTGAGCAGTTTATTGCTGCATTGTGAATATCTGCACCAGTTTGTTGTATTACCACTTAGAGTGAAAATGTGGCTTGAATTTGGCACTGCTCATTCTTAAACTGATCCATAATTTAGCAGAAGATCAGTAACTCAGTAACAACAGCGTGTGTGATGATGCTCATAGGTTTAGTTGACAACAGATTTATCACCGTAACTTTTCACATTCATAGAGATCGGCAAGATGAAATCATAGGCATTGGACAATGGACATTTATCGGAGGGATTTATTTAAATATAAATAGAACCAGTAATCTTAGAACGATGACAGAAGTGTCGTATTGTTTTGTGTATGGGAGCTGAAAAGCCTGAAGGAATCACACTATTGATTATTTGTCATCTGAATTGAGATGAACATTACAAAAGTTTTATAATATTTGTTTAAAAAAATGTTGGATTATGTAACTAATGCATCCTATGTTTGGGTAATAGTTCTGAATTTCTGTGATGTTTTTTTTTGTGTATGTATTTTGTGAAGGTAACGGTGGTGGCTTACATTGAAACATGATCTAACAGAGTAACTCGTGAGGGAGGAGGTGGACACGGGGTGGAGGGGGGGTGAACCATAGATTTCTATCTTTAGTGTCGCCTCACCAGGTCCCCCGATCTCCAATACCAGTTCTCCCGATTGAATTGCATCGACTCAGCTGTCAGTCTCTGTCCCTCCTTCCATTCATCTGTTCAACCCTTCACTTGAACAGACTGACACGGATGAGCAGCAAGACGGATGAGAAGAAGGCAGAATAATGGACACAGAACAGTAAACAGTTGGGATTTTGTCCATGACTAGCAGTGGAGAGCATGCACATAATACCTGGGATTAACTCACATTATTTGTGGTGTGTTGTTTCATGTTTATCTTATAATAATCAACTTTATTTATATAGCACCTTTCTTAAGGTCACAAAGCGCTTCACAGAGAACAAAACCATGGATACAAACACAATAAAAATAAAAACAACACAAGGATCATAAAACACCACATATGCATGAATTTATGTCTGTGAAATGGCTCACGAAAGTCTCTGTAGGAGTTATATTAAAATAGACTCATGCTTGGCTTTTAACAGAAGCTCTTCAGAAGTGTTGCACATGTTCTTTAAATTACGCAAGTCACATAAATCAGGTCTTTTCAGCTTTTGCTTTTTGCCCCCTTGTTGTTACCAGACAAATGCTTGTACTGTGTGTGTGTCATTGTTCCCATTCATTCATCCATTCATTCCAAGTCATTCATTTCTAATTTTACCTCAATGGTATGTTGACCAGGGAAGCTGTAACATTTAAACTCTGCAATTTCCCCTGTGAGTGTGTGTGTTTTATTTTTTTATCATGTTTGTATACATGCATGGGTCCATGCAGTTATGTCATTCATACCTCACAATATATATACATGTATATATTTACACACATACACAAATCAGACTGCAGAGTACCGTCATTCCTTGCTGCTGTCGGCTGTCTGTTGGGCGTCAGCAGCTGTGTTGTATTGCCGGTGTCAAGTCATCTCATTTCAGCATTGATCTCATTTTCCATGCTGTGCAGCTTCTAACCGAACTAAAATTTAATAATAATCTCAAACACTGCAGGTTGTTCACCAGTGAGGAGCTGTGAAACAACAGCACGGCTCTGTCGATAAATAAAAAGTAAACGTGACATTGTGTTCTCTGGCGGACTGGATCAGCTGTTAGCTGTAAACAAACCACAGGGCGAACGCTAACGCTGCTATGTGGCTGTGTTTTAATGACCGAGTCCGTTTGTTTTGTTACTAGTCCAGACTAAGACTATTCACGCATGCATGAAAATGAACTAATTACTCACTGAGACAACCCGTTCCTTCTGAGTCACATACAAGATTAGGTCAAATGAACGATACGTTCTTTGAACGACACAACACTAACATCCACAACCCCAGTTGCTCCAGAGGCGTGTGACCTCTGACATACATAGCAATTGCATTGGATAAAGCTTAGTTTCAGCTAAATAAGTGACATGTAAAATGTATCCAATGCACCAAAAACTGGCATGAAGATTATAGATTATAGAAAAACATGTTTGTATTTCTCAAAGCAAGGTATCTTAAAAAAAAAAAAAGGACTGTTCTGCAGGACCTGGTCAGCACCGCTGCCAGCCCCTTCTTCTTCTTTTTGTCTCTCGTGTTGGCCTGTAGCACTGGAGCTAAAAGAGCAGCAGTGGTGAGTAGTCCTACCATCCTATCAAGGAATATCACAAAGGATTCAAACCTGTGTGTAAATATACTGATGCATTTGAGGAGCGTCTCATTTAGGTACCTGACTTTTATCTCATATACCAGATCACTGAAATATAAAAACAGGATTTTATGAGAATGTCTAGGAAGGATTTACTCACCCAAAAAACTCACTTTCCCATAATCCTCTTCTCACCCACTGCTTCAGATGTAAATGATCAGGACGGATTGACTCATGCTGTCTGAAGAGCTGTTCAGCTGGCAGCGGTCCACCAGTGCGTTACAACAAATCTAAGTGACTGTTCACAGTTTGTTTACAATCATTAATGGTAATAAGTATTTTAATATCTCCATCACAGGCCAAATACGTTTACAAACATTAACTGCTACCTGATTGTATGTTTTCAGCAGTTTACATGTTGTATTGTTGACTGTTATCAATATTTGGTTGATCTACGTATAACATGTGTAGCAGTGGAAACAAACCTCTCTGCTCAGTAGTTAGTTGGAAGTTGCTGAGGCTTCAAACATTTCATACTTCTGGCCTTTCACATTCGAGTTATGACTTTGTGACTTCTTCCAAACTCACAAATCCGATCATTTGACCCCAATCCCTGAACTTATAGATGAATATGTGGAGAGCAGCAGGTATTTGAGGGTTGTTTGTAGGAAGCACAGAGGCCTGGAGGACTTTCCCCAACCACCGGTGACCTTATATGGCCGCGTCCTGCCTGTACCGCCACCGCAGTCAGTTGCTGGAGCTTCTCTGCCTACCTGACAGCTGAGCCGTCCATCAGCCCTCACATAAAACTGTCACACAGAGGCACATGCAGCACAACACACACATTCTCTTGACGCTTCCCTGTTCGTTGAACTGCTCACTGTCTCCCTCTCTTTGAATTTCATTTGATTTTAAAGTGGACATGAGTTTTTGTGATGTACCTCCATCCTGGGAACCACCCTGAATATGTTTTAAGTGTATGGAAAGTAAACGAGATACAGTTGGTGGTGTGTCCAGACTTTCTGGACAGGGGGTACTTACTTATCCGTCAGATTCTTTGACGCTACAGAAAGGCTACGCAGCCTTCAAATGGAGCTTGTGGTCACGACAAGGGAAGCCGTGGACACAAAATGCTTGGTATTAACTCGTGAGAACATCAGTGCTAGGCAATGGCAACATGGAGGACATGAAGAGTCCTTGTTAGAAATTACTTCCTTTGTATTTCAACACTGAGATGACAAAAGACGAATGTTTTATACAGGTTAACCCATATTTTTGGTAAATTAATCAACATTTAATTAACTGATAAATTAAGGGTTTTTAATGTTTTTTTTTTTAATCTAAGGATGAATTTTTTAAGGGCTAAAAACCTAATGTGTGCCCTTTATTTTGTAACATTTCATTAATCTTTCAGTTAATGTGCCAGTTGTTGTGTTGAGACATGAGTAAGTCAAAAATTATGACCCACTGTCATATATTTAACATTCTAAAATTAAAATGATGAAAGTCAAAATATCTAGTTGGTGCTAGAATTATCATACAAGTCAAGAAGAAGAAGTACCATTTATGGTGTTTTGGGATTTACCCCTTAAAGAAATATGATTAGAATTTGATCAAAACTGACTTTTTAAAGTCAGTTATAAAGTAACAAGCCAAAATATTAAGTAAATAACTGGACAAAAGGCTACATTTACTTTAAAAGTTAAACTTATTGTGATAGTCAGGCATTTGGCCTAGTAATGCCACAATCAGTTGCAAGCTCTCAGTGAAGCTCCACCCCCTGTCTCTCCAGAAGCAGACAGACACCTGCATCTCTTTAAGAGTTGATTTATGGGGAACACTCAGGATCTCTCAGTAGGCATTGTGTTCCAGTGTGGCTAGAGAGCAGGTATGTCGTCTAGAAGTAATGCGTCAAGGCTGACAATGTTTTAACTTTTGTGGGCATGTTTTAATTTGTTTTCATCACAGGCATTTTAAGCCACCTGTTGTCCAGACCTTGTCGGCTGAATAGCCTGTTATGCTAAAGTTCACTGCAGAGAAGGCATTGGTGGTTGACTGCATCTTTTTACCTCGGGGTTATCTAGTAGAGCTATGCAAGTTTACTAGTTTGTGTTTTACAGGTGGCCTTTTGATAACATGATTTACATTTCAGTGGGCCTAAACGTCTGATGTGTAAATAAGGTGGAGTCAGAGCTGGGTTGACTACTTACTGCATTGTTTGAGGTAAATATCATCTGGAAGGTATTTAGCAGGTATGTTTTTGTAGTATGTGTTAAATAATGGAACTAATTCAATTATTGTAATTTTAGGATTGTATAGCCACTACTGTTTTACCTGCCTGATCAACTCCTGCTATTCGTGCTTATATTTTTATGTGGATTCTTACTTGATTGTTACACGTGGATGGGCCCTGTGAATGTTTTGCCAACTGCTAAGGTCTGCTACAGGTGTGGCCATCTTCCGGCTGCGTGATTTCCCTCAGCTTATTAGCCATTTTCTGTCTTCTTTTGTTTTGTTTTTTTTTTAGTGTTCTGCCAGACGGACAGTGTGGTGGATTTTGGGAACCCCTTTCCCCTTCACTGCATGTGGTGGTGTGTATGATAGCTGTTGTTGTGTGGTTTGTGTTTTTGATTTGCTGTGTTTAGGTGGCTTAATCTTAATTGTGGGGAGCCTATGGCAATTGTTAGATAGATATTTGGGGGTTTGAACCCCTCACTATTTGCCTCGGTTACATTTTTATAATTTACGTAACCATTTAGGAGACAAAGTGCTATTGCAAAGATGGCAGCATAAAAAATTATCAGGTGGACAGATAAAAGAGAACATGGTGACTGAGTTATTTACCACAGAATTAACAATAGTTTGATTTGTCAGATCCCTGTTGAAATTCCTTTTGCAGATTAGTCCAGTTGAGACAGAAGTCTTTCCAATAGTCTGATGCGAGGCATAATTTTAAGATGGTAATGACAAAAGTCTGACTTTTTAGTCAATTTATGAAATACTACAATCAATAGCTTTGTCATTCCTGACATTGTAATTGAATCCCCACAAACACTCCCCTCTCTGCTTTCAAGAACATCTGATCCATAAATAAATGCGTCAGTCAGAACAGTTATTGACTGGATGAATCCTCAACGACCGTCTGCAGGTCGTCCTCAGTCCAAGCAGTGATGGGGGGGGGAGTAACTATAGGGTGGGGTGGACGAGGCCTGAAGAGGGATATAAAAATGTTGGGATACAACAAATATAATCTGAAACATTAAATCTGTTGAATTTGAGATCCACAATAACACTATCTCTGGACTGAAACCAGATCTTGGAAATGAATCAGAATTAAATGTTTGAGATGTTCTTCAGATTTCTGCCCCCCAGTGATGACAATGAAGTAAAAATCTTAAGTTTCTATAGTCGGTTGATCAGTCAAATTTGATTGTTTATCCAGCAAACAATTTATCTATAATTTGTTCTTCAGACAAAAGGTTTACCTGAATTTTAGAAAAGAATTCAATAAATGAAGGGACTACAATATATTGTGTATTTTCTTTAAAAAATAAGGTTTCTGTTGAGATTAAAATGTGCAAAATAACGATTCATGTAAGAGGTAATGGGATACATTAATAGTTTCAATCTTGTCAAGTTAGTTTTGTCAACTAGATATCAACAGCTTTAAGTTAGACCTATTTATTTTAGCTGTTTTCCATCTTCAGTTAACTATTTTCTTGTTTTCACATGAGCAGGTTTTAAAGACCTTTGTCAGGTTAATTAACTCTTAAGTTTTTCACCTTTACAGATGAAACAGGATTCATCACTCAAACATTGATACAGGTCACCATTGGCAGTTTAACGCTCCATTAAATGCATTGGCACACTTCCAGTACAGTGTCCCATTTCCATTAGCTCAACTCCGCATGCAGGTGATCCAGTCTTTTCGATCCTTGTCGGCACAAGTTCCTTGGGTGAAGCTCGCCATCTGGTGTCTGGTGCATGCGTGCTGTTGCACACCGATGAAGAATCCAACTTTATAGCCATTGCTGAATTATTACATTTTTGGCTTTACAGCTTTTGAGGGATACCTCGCCTGCCTCCCAAACATCAAATAGTAAGGCCTGTGCTTTAAATTTTATCTGCTTTTTGGTCTGAAGGGTGAACAAGGTGGACTGTAGAAAATGGCCCCAATGTTTAGGGTGATCAGCCATCACTTTGTTCAGGGACCTCAAAAAGCAGAATTAAAAGAACAGGCATGAGAAGGCGGAAGTGAACTTTGTTTCCTCTGTATAATAAAGCTGCTCTGGTAGGAACAGCAAAGCAACATGTTGTTCTATGGGAGGTAGAATTCATACTATTTAGGTGTATAGTTGAAAAGAAAATACCTCTCAGGGCAAGTAAACTGTTTTCAGGCAAGTGGATTGCATCACAAAGTTGTTCAAAGTAGGGATGGTTACCAAAACCGGGTATTAAAATGGACCGGAGGGCAAATATTAAACATAATAGTAATACAAACAATATTAATGTTCTCTGTATTTGGTGTGTTGGGCCTGAGCTCACACAAGCAGAGCAGAGGTGGAGACTGTGATGTGAACCAGGTGAAGTGAAGATACTGGAGTTGACGACAACTACGCTTGTTACTGTACATATACGTGCAATAATACAATTGCAAGTAAAAAGCCAATACTTTACCAATACACCTGTTCAACAAGCATAAACATGTAGAAAGTAATATTTTAATCTGCCTATAAATTTAGCTCCTGGCTGAGATAAACCTTAGCCTTTCAAAAATAACATTTTCAGAGGTCAAAAATCATCAGGGAGCCTCGCATGTGCCTAATGGAGGCAGATGAGAAGGAAATTTATTTTGATTCTTGTTATTGGAGCCGTCAGCTCCAATAACATGAAAATGTACCTCTAACACATTGTTGTGTTGATTTCCAAAGGCATAGTAAGAGTTGTTCTTTGAATCATCTTCTAAAGCTGCGGTATTTATAATATAGGCCAGTAAGACACCGAATCAGCTATCGTAATTTCAGGTGTATCAAAATACAGCAGCCATGTATCAAAATAAACTGCTCTCATCCCATGAAATCATTCTGCAAACCTTAATGTATCCCTTCACCAGCACACTGGCTCAGCTGATTAAGTGGACAATGTTTGAAAGCAACAGCTTTTCTTTGCCTAAAGAGTCATGTGATAAATCTGAAAGGCAACCAACTAACAGATCAAATATTCACATCCAGATGAAGGTTAACGAATAGTTAACTAGCCTAACAGTTCCTTTATTTTTATATTTTACCGTTACCATATTTAATGATTCAACCTAGTGCTGCTAATATAAACTTCACAGGGACTGTTAAGAACTGCAACAATTCATACTAAAAATAGGATGGAAAATGATGGAAACCTACATGTTTCGGGGTTCCTTGACCTTCTTTTTTAGGTCTGGATCAATTTCCTGTTCAGATCTCAACAAATCTGCGCAAATGACTGAGTAGGAACCAATCAGAAGCAGCTTTTATATGATGTCATCACATAGACTTCTTACAAAGTATTAGTATTTTTAACCTACAAAATGCAAATGTTTTATTTTTTAAAAACGAAATATGAAGTCATTTCCATCAATACTTTCAAATACAAACTACAAAATCCTATTTTGTATTTCAAATTCCTGGCATAGACTATAAATGTAGACGGGAAAAGTAGAGAAACAATGAAAAACAATTCTATTAATCACAACAAAGAATTATTCTCACCGAACTCAAACGGAAGAGCGATATTGATGACCGACTCATTGGAGGCGGTGTGGAGCTCATTTGCATAACGCGACCTCTGACCTTCATCACTGCAGATTTCTGAGGAGTCGGAGATGATTATTACCTGGTTTAAAGGTGTGTTTTGGGCGTCAGGACGTGTTGGGGTAGGTTTATTTACCTGTTATCTTTTTGTAATGTCAGACTCCTCTCATGCCAACAATATCAGTATATTTTAGGAGTTTGAAGCAAACAAAGCTTCAGCAAAGTCTGGCAACTCGATAGTTTTATCGACTGCGTGGACGAATCAACATTTATTCCGTGTATTCAAAGGTGTTTTGGCTTCACACCTTCACCTGTTTAGTAAAACTTTCACATTACTTAGCCGTGTACGAACAAACACGATGGGATATTCGTGACAACTTCAGCACTTTGGGGAAGATTGTTTTTGCTAAGAGGAACTGTGAAGGCTCTTAATTACCCAGCAGAGGGCGCTGCAGCTCAGTTCGTCACCGTGAGAAGAGTCGCGGGAGATTTAAAAAGATCCAATATTTAGATGTGGAAACTAAAGTGTACTGATTACCGACCATAGTGATGTCGATAAAGATTTTGTTGTAGACACACATTCGGAGTCCAACAAAAATAAATTATATCGACTAGTAAAAGCTAAAATTTGTTTTTCTCCTTCTCTGATAGGCTAATCCCGGACTCAGCATCCAATGCGGAAGTTGTACACTTTAAGGTGATGTGGTGTTTTTTTGAATGGATCTGTCCTCCAGTAGAGCTGCAGGCTTAATTTCCAGTACATAACGTTAATAAAAAGGTTATAAAACCCGTTTAATATTACGTTTCCACAGCGCTTTTACTCCAAGCATCTCTAAAGGAGATTCCTGGGATTATTTTAGGCTGTAATCGCGGTGATTTCTGGTGTCGCGGGTTTATTCAGCTACAACCGTGACAGAAAGCGGTTCCTCCCAGAAAGAGGCGCTCGTGTCTGAGAGGAACGAGTCATACTTACCTGGCAGGGGAGACACCATGATCAAGAAGGTGGTTCACCCAGGATGAGGCTCAACCATTGCACAACCAGGTTGCTGCTGACGCCTGTGAATTCCCCAAATGCGGGAATCTCAACTGCATAATTTGTGGTAGTGGGGACTGCGTTCGCGCTCTCCCCCGACATGATGTTCAATTAAAACCTAATCAGTGTCTCAACTTAGTTATAAATCACTGCGAAGACTTCGAGTTAGTTACATCTGATAAAAACACTGGCAGTTAACATTTGCATTAACTATTTAATACACGTTATAATCCGGTGGAGGAAGAAATCTGATCTCACGTAAAAGAAGCAGCAACCTCCGAGTATCAAAAGGAAAAGCAGCCACTGGAAACACGATTTGCCCTGTCAGTGTTTTACTCATACTGTATACAAATACTGCAGTACTGGGTTGTTAATACTTATAGATTAACGTGTGAGCAGCATTTTGATATGTTGGTCGAGGTGGTAAACTACTCTTGGGCAGTTTAACATTTACATACTTGTACTTGTCGTTTTGTTAATCTGCAAAGTAACTGTTCTTGTAACTATCTGTCAGCTGGAGTGAAAAGTAGGCTACTGAAATGTACAGAAGTGTAGTACAAAGTAGCATGAAGTGGAAATAAGTACAGCTGTAGTGGCACTAACAGAAAATAAAACACTAATCTGAGTTTGACACGAGTTTGTAATTTTTTTTTACCAAGAGAGAGGCCATATCTGAACAGTCAATTGATTACTTCTTGTCTCACTTAACCATGAAACATGAAAAAAATCTTCTGGAGAGAGACTTGACAATTAATGAGTTAACAAAAGCCAT